CAAATCTACCCATTAACTACTTTTCCTAACTCATACTACACTCCCCCTCAAGATGGGGCATAGATATCATGTATGCCCATCTTGACAAGTGAGTTATTAAAAGGTTTTCTGGATACAACTTTAGTTAGAACATCAGCTAGCTGCTTTAAGGTCTTCCCATATGGAACTTCAATTGTCTTATCCTCAAATTTCTCATAGAGAAATTACGATCAATCTCCACATGCTTAGTACGATCATGTTGAATTGGGTTTTCTGCAATTTTAATAGCAGACTAGTTGTCGCAAAATAACTTCATAGGTTGGTCGAGTGAAAACCCAAACTCCCCCATAAGTCGTTTCAACCATAATAATTATTGGATACCTTTAACTATTGCTCTGTATTCAGCTTCTGCGCTAGACAATGAGACAACCTTTTGTTTTTTACTTTTCCAAGTAACCAAGTTACCTCCAACAAAAGTGAAATACCTCGTTGTTGAGCGTCATCATTCTTCTTTGGCACCCCAATCTGAATCACAATAACCCATATTTTTGTATGGTGATTCTTACAGAACATGAGGCCTCTTCCTGGTGCTGACTTCAAGTATCGCAAGACTCTAATGATTGCATTCATATGAACTTCACTTGGATTATGCATAAAACGACTTACCACACTAACCGCATAAGCGATATCTGGTCAGGTATGTGATAAGTATATCAAGTGTCCCACTAATCTTTGATATCTTGCTAATTTGTTAGTAGGAACTTGATCAGGAAGTTCCTCCAAGCTCTGATTTTGTTCAATCGGTGTATCAATAGGTTGACAACCTAACATTCCCGTCTCCTTTAACAAATCAAGAACATATTTGCATTGAGACAAAAATATTCCTTATTTGGACCTAATAACTTCAATACCCAAGAAATACTTTAATCCTTCTAGATCTTTCATATCAAATTCAGAGGACAAGCAAGTCTTCAATTAAGTCATCTCATCAACATCATCACCAGTAACAATCATGTCATCAACATAAATTATAAGAATAGTTATCTTACCATTTTGTCTCTTCAAAAATAAGGAATGATCTGCGTTTCTCTGAGTGTAACCATATTTATTCATTGTTAGTCGGAACCTTCCAAACCATGCCCTAGGCAATTGTTTCAGACCATACAATGTCTTTTTTAGCTTGCACACTAAATCTGTATTTCTAGAAGTATTGTAACCAGGAGGTATGCTCATATATATTTCTTCAGATAATTCTCTGTGCAAAAAAGGATTCTTCACATCATATTGTTGTAGAGGCCAGTCAAGATTAGTAGCTATTGATAATAGAACACAAACAATACTTAGCTTTGCCACTAGCGCAAAAGTCTCCTGATAATCAACACCATAGGTTTGTGTAAAGCCACGAGCAACTAGTCTTACTTTGAATTGATCAATTGAACCATCTGGCTTGTGTTTCACTGAAAAAACCCATCTGCATCCAACTAGTTTCTTCCCTTTTGGTAACGACACAATATCCTATGTATAATTTTTCTCTAGTGCTCGCATCTCCTCATTCATAGATTCTACCCATTTAGGATCATCCAATGCTTCTTCAAATCTTGTAGGGATAATAACTGATGACATATGATTCACAAAGCCTTGGATAGAGCTTGGTAAGTGTCCACTGAAAACATAATGAGCAATAGGATATTTGACTTGGATTTTCAGGAGAGTATCTTGCTGGTGCTTTTCCTCGATTGATCTTAGGAAGTAACTGATACCTATTCTTGTTATCATCACTAAAATCAACTAATATAGTGTCATCAATTAAATTATTAGTATTAGTCTCCTCATAAGTAACACATACCTCAGGAACATCATTAGAAGGAACATTATTGGTGGGTACTAAAGGTACTGGAGAGGGGGATTCTTCACTTTCTTGTTGCACTATTTGATTCAGAATGCCTTGGTCTGGGGTTGTTGAGCTAAGCCATGAATTTATCTGAATTTGTACCACTATTATCAGGTAGTAACACCATCCTATTTTGCTTTTCAACCTTATTCTCCTGTTGAAGAGAAAAACTGGATAACTCCAGAGAGAAATACATATCGGTCTTAGAAAAAGTAACATCCATAGTAACGTACAATCTTTTGGTAGGAGGATGATAACATTTGTAGCCCTTTTTATGAGGCAAATACCCAACAAAGACACACTATAATGCACATGGATCAAGCTTCGTACGTTTGTGTTTAGGGAGGTAAACAAAACAACACAACCAAAAACTCGAGGTTTTAATTTTAAGGTAGATGAGAGGATAACAAAATTGGAGAGGTGATTTAAGGGAATCTTAAAATGGAGAACACTACTTGGTACACGATTTATTAAATAAACATCATACAAAATAGCATCCTCCCAAAATGAGGGTTGTATATGAGAACTAATCAAGCATGCACTCGTAACTTCCAATATATGGCGATTTTTCTTTTGTGCTACGCCATTTTGCTGAGGTGTAAAAGCACATGTAGTTTTCTGAATGATACCATGATTTTGGATATACGACTGCAACACTTGATTAACATATTCTCCACCATTATCTGCCCTAAGAACTTTTATTTTGGCTTAAAATTGAGTTTGAATCATCTTATGAAATGAGTGGAATCATTCAGAAACATCACTTTTATTCTTCAGTAGATAAATCCATGTCATACGACTAAAATCATCAACAAAGATTGCAAACCAACGATAGCTAGATGAACTAGAAACTGGAGAGGGACCCCACACATCCGAGTGAATCAATGCAAACATCTCAGTCACCTTACTAGTACTTAAAGGATAAGTAGTGCGATGACTTTTAGCTAATACACAAACATCACAATGAAAATTAGAGAAATCGCACTTTGAGAACAAAGTTGGGAATAAGTGTTTAATGTAGCCAAGAGAAGCATGACCAAATCTTCGATGTCACATCCATATTTGGTGTTCTTTAGTAGAAAAAGGAACCTTGACTGGTTAGAGCAATACCATGACATACATCATCCACATAATAGAGCCCCCTCTTTTAGTACCACACCCAATAATCTCCTTGCTGTTGAGGTCCTGAAAGATACAGAAATAAGGATACATTTATACTAGACAATTTAATTGTTGAGTTACTTGAGACACAAATAAAAGATTATTGGATAGTGAAGGAACAAATAAAGTATGATCTAAAGACAAGGAGGGAGACAAAACAACAGTTCCAGCACTAGTAACTGGGGATGATACACCATTTGTGTTGGACATATGTGAACGACGTGGTTTATTAGGAGCTTGTAACAGCGACTGATCAAAGGTCATATTTAGTAGCTCCGGAGTCAATAACCCATCCAGTGTCTTTATCAGAATCCTTTTTAATCAGAGTTGATCCAATATTACCTTATGAGTGTCTAGGTATCGCTAAATCAGAATCACCAATTTCAGTTGAAACCAAAGTCGTTTCGGCAGTTGGCAGTGATGTGGTAGTTGAAACCATAGCAACAACTTTCCCATCATTTTTATCACCATCCTTTCGATCTCTCTATTCCCTGGACTTCTTTTCATTTAAACTATTCTACCAATTTGGATATCCATGTAACTTAAAACAATTCTCAACTACATGTTTGGGATTATCACAATGAGTACAACCCTTTCACCATTGCTACGAGCTTTTGATCAATGGTAATCTCGATTCTGGACAAAAGAAACCTTTGCTGCCATATCCATCTTGGAATTTGTATTATTATTTAGCATTGCGTTCCTCCGTTGTTCTTCACTTTGAACCATAGCAATAACAGATTCTGGATTGGAAAAAGGGTTTGCGCGAAGAATATCACTTCGAACACGATCATAAATATCATCCAAACCAGCCAGAAAGATATACACATGTTCTTTTTCAATTTCCTTCTGGCGAGCCTGGACAACATCAGGTTGTGTGAAAGATATGGGCTTACGATGATCCAGTTCCTTCCATATTTTGCTTAAATATGCAAAGTATGTAGAAACTGTTTTCCCCTCTTGTTTCATACGCATTGCTTGACAAGAGAGTTCATAAATAACTGATCTATCAGCACTTTCATAATATGTTTGAGACACGGTGTCCCAAATACTCTTGGCCGTCGAAAGACGTGCAAATAAGCTCATAATGTCGGGTTCAATGGCACCGACGAGCCAACTTTTAACAATAGCATTATCGATACTCCATTTTTCATAAGTGGTATCAGTAGCGAGAGGCTTTTAACTGTTCCTGATAAATATCCCAATTTTCCACGACTTGCAACAAACATCTCAACAACTTGAGACCAAAGAGAATAATTCTTTCCATTTAGTTTTACACCAAAAGGAATGGCTATAGGTTTAAGGATGATGTTTGTATTTTTAGAGGATTCACCCATCATAGAATTATAGACTTAGGATAAAGAAAAGAAATTTTGCTCTGATACCAACTCAAAATGGGTGAAAAAGATACTTTCATTATGTATCAACTATACGTTATATAAAATTACAAAGATATGGTAAGATATTTACAATTCCAACGAATATGCTACTATAATCCCAAAAGATATCCTAAACAATCCACAAGATATTCTAATTGATCTCAAATAATTAGAAACAAATCTACACATTAACTACTTTTCCAAACTCATGCTAACAGATTGTCTATCCGAAAAAGATGAATTTCATGTTCAAATTTGTGAACGTGACCCACTTAGCAGGCGTAGTTTGATAGTTGGATAAGAAATTAATTATTTATGTATGAATTTTTGTATAATTTATATGATGTTTGGTAGGTAGATAAAAAATAGGCTTAAGTCATAGGCGGCCACTTAAAGTTGTCCGCATATTTCACTTTAACACCTCAACTAAAAACTCTACCTATTAAACACCCTATACAACAAAGAATTTGTACCTATTAAACCATTTTCACTGACATGACAAAGTGTGTGTAAAGCACACAAAGAGAGGCGCGTAAAAGGACAAGTTTTAGCCAAAACAAAATCTTTTTATATCTTCTTCTTCTTTATTTTCATGGATGTTCCCACCACCATTTTACCATTCCAACCATCCACACCACCCACAACTCCTTCTCCTTTTCTCGATTTTCAGCCATTCTTTTTTTCAAGTACACCACCTTATTTTTTTCCATCAAATCGGTCGTCATCATCCACAAATCTACCATCGTCAAACGACCTTTGCCTTTCAAACGACCAACCGCACATTCAAATCTGCCACCAAATTTTTCGTCGGAAAAAATGGTATTGCCGCTGCCACCATACATATCTCTCCCTTCTTCTTCTCTTTTGTCAAATCGAACCCAAACATAAATTAAATATAAATCTGTAAAACAAAAGAAATGCAGAAAGAGAAGAAAATTTTGTGAAGAAGAGGAAGTGGGGATGCCTTTCCTATGACATGGAATGTTAAGCAGACATCATGACATAAAGACACAAAAAATTTAAAATAACAAGAATCTAGGGTGTGTTTAGTATGAATGAAAATGTTTTCCTGGAAAATAAGTAGACTTTGAACTTATTTTCTCATGTTTGGTTGGTGAGTAGAAAATATTTTCCGGAAAAGTTTTTTGTGTGTTGATTTATGAATGAAAAATATTTTTGAGAAAATATCTTTTATTTTTACTAGAAAGTAAACAATAATTTTTGAATTGAAACTGAAAATATTTTTTAAAAATAAACTTAAATTTTTTTGAGGGAGGCTAGGTTGGTGGAGGGGGTAGAGGTGAGATGGGGAAAAAAAATAAAAATTTGAAATTGAAAATATTTTAAAAAATAAACTTAAAAATATTTTGAAAAGCACTTAATTTAATTTTTTGAGGTTTTTTTAAAAGGTTTAAATTTATATTTTCAACAAAAGAATAATTATAATTTGAAGTTGGATGAGAGTTTTGGAAAATGTTTTCCTTAATTTTTTAAGGGAAGTCATTTTCCTTAAATTTGAGGAAAATGAGTTGATTTGGAAAACATTTTGCTCAACCAAACATGAGAAAATTGAGAAAATGTTTTCCTTCTTACCAAACACACCCTAAGAGACAATTTTTGCACTAACATCAATCACATTACGTTCCTGTTTCATCAAATTCACGAGAATTTGAACTTGTTTTTTCCTCAAAGGTTGAAAAGATTGAATCTTTGCATTACTTAACAAATACAGAGTGCATAATTTACGCATGTTTCTCCAGTAAGGTCCGTAATTAGACGAGACAAGATTTCTACGATTGTAGAAAAGGGTCTCTGCAACTTCATTAGAAGGTCTACTAGCAAATAGTAAATCATGAATTTTCAAGAATTGCTCTGCAGCATGAGGTGATGAAGCAACAATTACAGGAACAAGACCAAAGTGGATTGACATTATGGGACCATATTTTTTCGATATTTTTCCAAGATCTTGATGAAGATTTTCACCAAACATATGGAGATTTCCAATAAGAGGGACGCCTCTTGGACCTGGAGGAAGTTTCTTGTTAGTGAACTTTTTTTGAAGTTGTTGAATAAGAAGAAATAACAGGGGAATTAGTGCAAAAGTTATTAGCCATAGAAAAGCCATGGAGTTTGAAGCACTTTTTTATGGTACTAATTGAATGTTGAGATTGTAGTTTTACTTATAGGGTGTAGCACTATCTGATAAAAGAGAAATTGTGGTGAAAATGGAAGGCAAAATGATAGACTACAAGACAAAAATGCAAAATATCTAAGACACTGTTTGAATTCGCTTAAAAAAAAGTAATTTTTAAATTAAAATAAAAAGTCAAACTTACATGTATATGTGAGTGCTTCTAATTACTTCTTTATATTTGATCGAGTCATGTTAAGTAAATCAAGGATATGTGGGATCTATTTTGAATTCAAAGCAAGGTCTATAGATGAAACTAATTCAAAAATAGTATATTGTTATAATAATGAGAATAAAATATTATACAACAATTGTCAATCTTATGTAAAATACAACCGTGCATAATAAACTTGTCAATTAATTTTTTGAGTTTCACTTTTTTCATAATAATCTTACTTGCCGATTAACTGTTTGATATTTTCATAATAAATCTCATGCTTGTTTTTTATTTTATTTATTTGTTTCATGTTTGAATCCTCTTTTATTTATTATTACTTGTCTTTCATTTTTATTCAACAAATTGTAGTCATAGGATCAGAGACAACAACTTTGTTGGCTTTGCAATTAATATGCAAGAATGCGGTGTCAAATGGTATAGGGATCATAAGTCTAAGAAGCTTTGACACAGTAGTTTAATATAAATTTCAATTATTAAAAGAGTCAGTAATGTGTTACTGATTCATATAATTGTTCTAACCTCGTATGTTATTTTTACGTTGTATGAATTCTTAAATATTTATATTTTCTACACAGGTTCAGACGTTTTCTTATTCAGATTCATGGATACATTAAGCCATTTAGATAATAACCATGTTCATTTCTTCATCAAACACTTGAGTAAATTAACAATAAACTCAAATAAACATTTTACATGGGTGAAATCAGTATAGAAGTTAATTTTGCTTAACAGTATCTATCAGTAGATATGATACGATATAATATATTGATGAAGTTCAATTGTGCAAAAATAATTTCAAGAATGATATTACATTTTTTTTTATAGATAAGTTATTTCATATTTGTATGGAATTTTTTTTGAAGTGTGCTACAGGGAATTTATTTTTTTTGGCTAATCTTTATTTACGAGAACCAAGTATTTAATCTGCATTTAAATTGCTAATCAGTGATATTAAGTGTTTTTCTCATAAAATATAAAATGCTTTAAATTAGAATTCAGGTGGCAATAATAATAGCAAAAACAAAATGAATTGCTAATCAGTTAGTTTCCAGAAAATATAGCCAACAATTTTAATATCTATTTTTCGTTTTCTATTGTTAAATTAATCTGTGTTTATGCTTATTTCTATATACAAAATTTTAATAAATGAAATTTAACATTTTATATACCATTTAAAACCTAAATTCTACACAAATTCACGTAATCTTTTATCAATATTTAATAGGAGAGGTAAAAATCATCATGTTTTAGCACCACACAAAAAAAAATATTTATTATTAAAATAAAAATAATAACGAAAAAAATAAAATTAAAATATTCCTAACTGCATATTAACTCTCCAAGTTGGAGTCCTAAAAATGTGCAAGCTTAAATTATTACTCTCCATGTTGGAGTCTAAAAACGTGCAACCTTAAATTAATGCGCGCTTAGAACTCTTCTTCTTCTTCTTTCTGTTGGAAGTTTACATATTTAATATTAACTATTCAAATTTTTTTTAAAAATTAATTGCAATTACTTTTTAAATTTTAAGTTACGAAAATTGCAACGATGGCCTCAAATTTAGGTAACTGATCAAGAATTTAATTCTTGAAAAAAAACATTTATTTATATTAAAAATAACTATTAAAATTCTTAACTGTTGATTATCTTATTTATAATTCCAAATCACGATTCTAACTTATATTAACCACAAACGGCATACTACCCGAAAATGCAACAATTTATGAAAATTTTGTGAATTGGACACCTTCTCAATCAAATGCTTTGATCTTAGCATGTAAACTCCAAGACGTTATGACTTTTTTGCAGCCACAAATAATGAAGCATTCAAGAGTGTTTGTCTAAATATACATAAGGAAAGGCTATGATACATCATTTTATGAGTTACTCGGATAGTATCACACCAATTTTTGGTGTATAAAAAGGTAGGAAATTAAAGGCTTGGATGACATGAAACTTTTTCCGTCTCTTCTATGCTATTAAAACCATCCGTATCCACTTTTCAAATTCGGGATCCACATATTCTTCATTTCTTATTTGATAATTGAAATAATTTATGAGGATGCAACTAAAATCAAGTTTTTAATTTACATTGTTTAATTTATTTAGCTGTTTAATTATTGTTAATTATTATTTTATTATTGTTAACTTCTGTGATTTGAAAGAATAACCAATTTAAGAAATGCATATTAATTTAATATGCACAAATAAATAAGTTAATAATTTGTATCATTATTTTTAAAATATACATTACTAAATGCATGATAAATTTTATTACTCTCTCCGTCCCATTTTATGTGGCACTTTTCAGATTTCAAGATTCAAACAAGTTTATCTTTGACCGTAAATTTTTCATAGATCTTTTAAATATTTTGAATCATCAATTATTGTGACTTATAGTACTTTTTACATAGTTTACAAATATATAAATTTCATTTCAAGAAAATTGAAGATTCCATGCGCAAATTCCCAGACAAACTTAAACTGTTTGACTCTCGAAAAATGAAAAGTGCCACATAAATTGGGACATAGGGAGTAGTTATTTTTAATTTAAAATATTATAATATTTTAAAATATCCGCGTAATGTACCGGCACTTATACTAGTTCTAATAATAGTTTGATGCTTTAGGGTGGTGAGTTTTTATTTTTTTATTTTTTTATTTTTCATGAGATTAGATGTCAATCTAGTGACGGGAACCACATTACTATCATCAACAAAATAATAGGAGAGGTAAAATTAAATCCAGTCCATCCAATCCGTTTAGGTTTCTTATTTATTAGTTCTACTCATTTCAATCCATTGTAAATTTGGTTGATATGTAATGCATATTAATTCATGAAAAATCTTGTCAGAATATTTTTAAAAAGCTATTTTGAGTCTTGTTGTTTTATGACCAACATGATCCGTTTTGAGTCTTTTGACCTCAAACAAATTTGAGTTGGGTTGGATATTGACCTATTATGACCCAGCCCCATTGTCATCCATACGTTGAACATATAACAATATCATTTAATCTTGTAATCTTAAACTTATCAGGTGAAAAATTAAATTAAAAAGTTGTCATAAAGAAATATTCTTTTTAAAATAAACTAAAAGGAAAATAAGATAAATAAATTAAAATGAATAAAATATTTACTAGGAGTTCTCTTCTTCTATAATAATTAATTAGCATGCCTAGTCTCTTTATCTCACTTGGATATATAAATTAATTTACAATTACTTTGTATGTTCACTTAGAATAATATTCGATTTAATCATTGAATTCTACCTAGTTTAAATTAAATTCAAAAGAAAATTATAGTTATGTATATTTAAAGGTGTCTAACATCTCATTTTCAACATAAATTGAAAAAAAAAAAGGTTAGGCACACTAGTAAAAATAGAGTTAACTTGCAATTAGTCATAGACCCATAGTAAATAAATTATCAGAGTTGATTTTCGCAAAGCTGATGCAGGTTTTGAGAAATCTCATTTAATGAAATTAGGGATGTTAAATAGGCGGGTTGAGTTGAAATTGGAGATATTAGAATGAGTTGAAATAGAAATTGGGTCGGGTCTTGACCCGTCCAAGTTTGCTTTGGGCTCAAATGAGTTGGGTTTAAATGGACTAAAAATCGAGTTGAGTCATGACCCACCCAACCCATAATTTTAACATATAGTTATTTAACTTTTATAACCACAATTTGAATTTCAACTCAATAAAATTTTAAAAAAGAAGTTACAAATGGATAGATAAATTCTAAAAGATATAAAATAGATAGTGATTCATACCTTAAATATAGGAACATACATTACATCAATCCAAATAAAGAGTCTTAAAACGGATTGAAAATTGAAGATTAAATTAGACTCAATTAAATATTTTCTTAAAATGAGTTAAGGCTTGAATGAATTGAGATTAAACCCAATTCAAATTATCTTGAGCCCAACCCTTAAAATTTTGGGTGGGTTGGATGGGTCACCTATAGTTGGGCTAATTTTTGATACCCCTAAATGGAATATTGATATTTTGCAAGGTCCAAAGTTGCTTTAAAAAGGAAAAAGAAGCTATTTTGCAAGGAAGATATGATACTTGTGCCTAACTCAATCTCAAAAATTAGTTTATTAGGGAGATTTCCCAATTTCATATAAACAGACTATCGGTCCATTTTCTAATCAATGTGACACCTATTATCCACTTTAACACCTCCTTCAAGCCTAGGCCCAACTGAAGGCTAGATTAGGAGCCCAAAATGGGAATGAACCTGACTCTGATACTATGTGCAAGGAAAGATATGACATCTGAGCCTAACTTTACCCAAAAAATTAAGGAAAACGTACATAAATGGGCCATAACACTCTGTCACTCCCCAAGCCTACACCCTGGGCAGGACTGACACACGTGAACCATTGATGGCCCCAAGCGAACCCTTGGCCTGGCTTATTCAGCGGAAGACTTAAACATAAGAAACATAACTCATTGCAATAACTTAAGAAATAATAACTTAGCCAAGATGGCAACTCAAGTCTTAAACGTATACAACTGAAATGAATAAGACTAAAGAACTATAACTATATGTCTATAAAGCCTCTAAAACAAAGAGGGATGTCGGGACAACACCCCCGATCATTCTAACAACTGAAAACTAGAAAGCAATGTAAAAAAGAGCCCTCCAGAAAGCAAGGAGGCTCACCAACTGAATCTGAGTGCTCAACCTGATCAACGAGGCGCTGGATGCTGATCTTGGTTACCTGCGTCTGCATCATAAGACGAT